GAGAATGATGATAATTGTGATACGATGGCACCCAATACTCAGAATAGAGAACTTCAGTAGGAGGCTGAAGGTGCACAAGATTTGCACCCTGATTTAGCTGAGAGCTATGATCTCTCAGGAGATGTAGGCATTCCATTTGGTACAGCTAATACTGAACAACTTATATGAAATAAGTACCAGATGGTGAATATCCAGACATGGTCCAAATGCTAAGTCAGGAGCTAATTGAAAGGAGTATTCTGCCATATCTTGCATCTTGTAAAAACATCCAATGATCCATTATATTGTTTTCTAGGTGGAGGAGCCTGTTTTGGTAAATCACATGTTACCAAAGCCTTGTATCAAGCAGCATTGAGATACTATAACAACAGAGCTGGTGATGATTTTCATCAATTAAAGGTTTTAATGTTAGCTTCTACTGGTAAAGCAGCCTATAATATCAGGGGTAACACAATTCATAGTACTCATGCAATACCAGCATGCCAATCTCTCAAAGACTGTAAATCACTTGACTTTAGTAGACTGAATACTCTCAGGTGTCACCTGGGAGGTGTAAAACTTATATGTCTAGATGAGATATCAATGGTAGGAAATACCATGTCTAATGTCCAAATAAACAATAGACTTAAAGATGTTAAAGGTAGTAAAGATCACTTTGGAGGTTTCAGTTTAATTGCTGTTGGTGACTAATTTCAACTTCAGCCTGTCATTGATGGACCTATATTTAAAGATTTAGATAATTCAGAACACTGCATTCTTGCTCCAAACCTACGGCAAAAGCATTTCAAAATGTTTGAGCTACTTGAAATTATGAGACAGAGAAAAAGCAAAGTATTTGCTAAAATCTTGAACAGATTGAGAGAAGGCAACCATACCAATGCCGACAGTGTCAAACTAAAAGAAAGAATCTTGGATGACAACAATGAACTTAACTTGCTAATGGATGTTCCTCATCTTTTTATACAAAACGAAAAGGTAAATAATTTCAATGAAAGACTGTATCAAGCACCAAGAGGTGAAAAGCATACTAGAAAATCACAAGATGGTGTAACGGGAGGGAACTCTTCAGAGCTTAAAGATAAAATTATGAATCAGATACCTGATGACCCTAGAAAAACTAAACAAATTGTTTTTAACTTTATTTAGCTGAAGGTGAAAGAACAGAATTAGCTATGAATGTAAGAACTGAAGAT